TGAGTTTGGTTTTATCAAGAATCAAGATGAGTCTTGTGTTTACAAGAAGGTCAGTGGGAGTGACATCGCCTTCCTAGTCTTATATGTCGATGACATTTTGCTCATTGGAAATAGCATTCCATTGCTAGAGTCTGTAAAGACTTGGCTCGGGAAATGTTTTTCAATGAAAGACTTTGGAGAGGCTCAGTACACATTAGGCATCAAGATCTATAGGGATAGATCAAAGAGGATGATTGGAATGTGTCAGAGTACTTACATCGATAAGGTACTGGCTCGATTCCAAATGGAAGGAGCCAAGAGAGGGCACCTACCCATGTCACAAGGCATAACCTTAAGCAAGAAGCAATGTCTAAAGACACCTGATGAGCGAGAAAGGATGAGTCGAATTCCATATGCTTCGCTTATTGGATCGATCATGTATGCCATGATATGTACTAGGCCTGATGTATCGTATGCCTTAAGTGCTACGAGCCGATACCAATCAGATCCAGGAGAGGCGCATTGGACTACGGCCAAGAATATTCTAAAGTACCTGAAAAGGAACAAGGATAAATTCCTGGTTTATGGTGGTAAAGATGAATTGGTTGTTGAGGGATATACCGACGCAAGCTTCCAAACAGACAGAGACAACTTTAAGTCACAATCAGGATACATATTCTGTCTCAATGGAGGAGCGTTTAGCTAGAAGAGTGCAAAGCAAAGCACAACCGCTGATTCTTCAACTGAAGCTGAGTACTTGGCAGCATCTGAGGCAACCAAGGAGGCAGTTTGGATTCGCAAGTTCATTGATGAACTTGGTGTTGTACCCTCCATCAAGGGTCCAATAGACCTCTATTGTGACAACAATGGAGCTATTGCTCAGGCTAGAGAGCCACGAGAACATCAGAAGGTCAAACATGTCCAAAGGCGATTTCACATGATCCGAGAATGGATGTCAGAAGGTGAAATCAGAATTTGCAAAGTTGGAACGGATGACAATGTAGCCGATCCACTTACTAAACCTTTGCCTCAAGTGAAGCACAACAAACACATTGAGGCAATGGGAATCAAGCATGTCATGAACTGACTTTGAATTCCATTTTATAGTGTTTTAATCAAATTTTGAACAATGTTGATGTAAAGCACTATGATGAACCATTCATTTTTGGAGTAATTAAAATTTTTCATGCAATTTAAATCACTCCGTCTCTATTTAATTGTGGTTTAGAATTAAATAATGAGTCCATTCGATTTTAATAAATGTTCAAAATAGGGTATCAAGTCAATGGCTTGGATAAAGAAACACCTATTCAGTGATCATTGAATATTTTAATCGAAAATTATCCCTAATCAAGGTCATATTTTGTGGACGATTGATGACCATCAGAGATTAGTGTGTAGTATGATTTATAGCACCGTTTCTTGTGTTATGAGGATATAAATCATTTGCACATGTATTGGTTTAGAACCATACTGGATCGACCTATGAGGATACTTTAAGAGATTTAAAAATCGTCATAAGTATTTTCTCATTATTACTATCGGAACTCTTTTCCTTTGACCATGAGTAGTGGGAGATATCTTGTTTGAGTACTGGTCCGCTTTGGTATCCGCCAAACGTCCGCCGTAACTGGAGATTATAAAGACAGATATTGGGCGGGTGAGTCCTCTTAGTAAGAGAAGCTACATTACAAGACTGGAAATGTCCCCCTACTAACAATAGGGAACATGTCTTGTTGTTTACAATGCCTCTCGAAGAGCGAGACTGTGAAAAATGCATGGCCGTGCTCAGATGGATTTTAGAAATCATCTGCTTATTGACAGTCAAACTCGGATTTCGAGAAACACTTCTGGACGTAACAGAGATGACTAGTAATCTTACTATGTAGTTCATGAAGAGACATGAAGAGACATAGGATAAGGGCTATACACTAAATGCACACTTGTCCGGAAGGACAAGTGGGAGATTGAAAGGAATAGTGTCCTTCGAACAAGTGTATTATTCTGATAGCAGGTTTAGAATTATTAGAAAGCTAATATATTCAGTAAGGTCAAGTGATCGGAATGCCTGGGTGGAGGCCGCTTCCGATCATTAATATTAATATAATTAATATTACAGCTTAATCTTGACTGAACCCTTCGGGTCACACCCAAGCAAATATATGCGAACCAACTCGACGAATTAATTCGGAAGAAATTAATTCGTCGCCCGAGTGTTAAATAATTAGACGTCGGTAATTCGAGCTTAGAGCGTCGAAACCGATCGTCGGAAGTCGAGTCTAAATGATAAAAGACGAGACACGCAAAATAATAATAAATCAACAATATTCCCGAAAATACCCCTAGCATCGGAGTGCCCCGAGCATCCGAATGCTAGGGGCAAGACGAGCCGGTGCACCGTGCTGGCAGCCACGGCCAACCGCGGCTAGGCACAGCAGCAGCCGCGCCGCGCCACGGCAGCAGCCGCACCACGCCACGGCAGCAGCAGGTGCGGGCTGCGCTCGGGCCAGGTGCGGGCTGGTGGGGGCTGGGCTCGGGCTTGGCTCGTGGCTTGGCTCGGGCCATAGGGCCGTGAAAAAGGGGAAGGTTGGAATATGGGAGTAAGTGGGATTTCCATGTGGCACAAGGTGAGGGAGAGAGTGGGAAGCAAGTTTGGTCCCCATCTCCAAGTGGTCCTCACCTACTCTCTCATGTATGCTTGACACTTGTTGATTTATTACTAGTTTGCTTAATAATTTTATTTTAGCTTTAAAATAAAATGTGAAAATCTCATTGTCCCACATTGATGGGAGAGATTTTCATACTCAATCATTCCCTATAAATACCCAACTTTGGGCATTGGAAATGATGCTTGAGTGGGAGTTAAAAAGAGCATTCCATAATATTGGGAAAACACTTAAACTCATATAACACTCGGGTTTTGGTCGGACCTCGCTAACCCCCAGGTAGTAGACCTTAAAGTTGTGTTCGCCCTTTTGTGGGTGGATACCGTCGGAGGCACGACGCTTGACGTGCTCGTAGCTTTCAAGTAAGAGCCCCGGTGTTTGGGCGAAGCTCGCTTCGAGGGTAAGATTCGTTATCTTTTCTCTGTGATTATTTATTTATGCTTTATGATTTTAATTATTGCGAGTGGTTCCTTGGGCCGGGGTTTGTTTCCGCGGTGAGTCGGACTCACCGAACCCCAACATTGTCTTCCTTGAGGGGATGTTGTAAGAGGAGTTTCCAACAAACATCATACTTAAAGTAGTAAAACAATTGATGCACCCGGCCAGCAAGCTGTTAAACAAGTCTTGTGCCAAGCCCTTGAGGGTAGTTGGGAAACATCTGCACCAAGTGGCGTCATCAACACATTGCAGTTACATCAGGTTTTTATATGAAGTGACGTGCTCCTCTGGTTTGCCTGTACCAATTGGGGCTGCAGAAGGAAACCCGAACCAAGACCGCACTAAAAATAAATGAAACCAGAAGCATAATTAACTTAATGACAAGATTAAGATAATAATTATGCCTTTTACGTGTGCTTCGCCCGATCTCAAGGGGCTCTTACATCGAAAGCAAGTCTCGAAAGTACGACAACCTCCAACTGAAGTCCACCCACAACCCGACCACCAACAAGGGTCTAATGCCTTGAAGTTAGCAAGGCCCTACCAAAACCCGAGTAATAGATGTGTTCAAAGGTTTTCACAATGGTGATGCCTTTTTCAACACTTACTCAAGTGCTTTTCCTAATACCCCAAGTCGGGTATGTAAAGGGAAGAGGATGAGTCTGAAAATATCTCCCATCGTTGTGGGAAAATTTAATTTTCCAATTTTATTTTAAAACTAAAGTAAATTTAATAATCAAACTAGTAATAAATCAACAAGTGGCAAGCTCACATGAGGGAGTAGGTGAGGATCATTTGGAGTACGGGGGACCAAAGTCACTCCCAACTCTCAATCATTTCGCGCCACGTGGCACCCACACTTGGGCACCAAGGCACCCATGGTAGGTGATGGGTGTCATAAATGTTTAGTTTTATGCTTTTGCTATTTGTTTTACCTTTTACTATCTTATTTTTTGGTTTTGTGAATTTTGATGGTTTTACTACTCTTTTCTTCTTTATTTGCTCTATTTTCGTGGTTGTAGGTATTGTACGAGGTCCAGATCCTGATAATTGTGATTTACTTAGGTGGAAGATGCTTTTGGAGATAGATCATTGCAATTGGAAACCTAAAGATGCAAGGAAGTGGATTCTCCAAGTTCTAGCTCTTGCGCTTTCAAGTCGTGCTCTCATGAAGATGGGGTGTTGAACCCACTATCTAGTGCTTTTTGGGAATGCCACTCTTAGTGTTCATCATCATCATATTGCGTGTTCACTCGAAGACCTTAGCAAATGCACAAAGCCGCGAGAAGATCGAAGAAACCCAGGAGAATGCGGGCGCGCAGCCCTCTGCGCGGGTGCATGCGCATCTCCTTGCCCGAGCGACCGCGCCTCCTTGCCCGCCCGGCCGCGCCTCCCTAGGTATTCATCTTGGTTTTTGTTCGCACCTCCTATAATATCTTTGTAACCCGATTTTTGGGGCAAGTTTAAGAATAAGTTTCATTTTTGATTTTGATCATAATTTTAGCTTAGTTGAGAGCTTATCTCTCTAGTTTAAGGGTTAGTTTAGGAGTATATTTTAGAGAGAGAAAGTGAGGAATTTCAATGGTGATTAAGAGATTGAAAATTCAATGATGACAATTGTGTTGGAGATCTTCTAGTCACTGGTGGAAAAATAGTTATCAATAACAGCCAAAAATAGCCTATCCGTAACGGGCAGCTGGCGTTACGTATGCTGCCGTTACGGATAGGTTATGTTATTCGTAATGGGCAGCGCCCGTTACAAACAACGGGTTATTTGTAACGGACAGTTTGACTGCCCGTTACGAATAACTCGTTATTTGTTACGGGCAATCAAAATGTCCATTGCAAATACAATTAAACCCAAAAAAAATGCAACACGTGATACCTGCTACACTACTAAGCTAATAATCTTCTATGATGCAAAATTTTATTTACTATTATCAATATTTAATAATAATAAATGTAAAATTTAATTAATTATATAATCAAAGATACAACTTTCACAATTGTCAAATTGAATTTACAACTCCCTTGCTCTCGTCAAAAGCTACTATATAAACAATACTCCGAACATCTGGTAGATTCTCAATGCCCAAAGGTAAAGCATCCGTCTCATGTTCAATAGGTAAACATGCACTATGTAGAGGTGAATTTGAAAGGTCCATCATGGAGTTGCCATCCTCAAAGATCATGCACATATGCTGTTGGATAGAAGCATACTCAATTAATTATGATAAGCAACTAACATATATATAACATAAAACTTGTAGAAGATTAGAACTTACATTGACGGAATCTACAGTTTAAAGTTGTTGAGATTTAACCCTAATGTCCCTCACAAGTTTAGCATTATTTATCCCTAAATAAGATTGAAGATACGATGATACCTCCTTGCAAGATGTAAGTTGTTCTCTTGTTGGACTGCAATAAGACAATAGTGAAAATAAAAAACAACAATCTTATTCTAAATAGGATCATTATCCAACTAATCCAAACAATGTGATGGGCAAGATCATTCTATCAATTAAAATTGCTTGAAATGACCATGTAAAGCATGCCTGTAGACTTCATGATATGGATGAGAATCAGACAGTGATTCAAGCCGCATTATCAATAATTAGTCCCTTTAAACTCTAATATACACCCGGTTTACTCATTTGATGATTAAATGAGCAATAATCATTATAATGAGCAAAAAATACCCTTGTTTCACCTAGCTACTAATCCCCACCTCCCCGTCTCAGCGTCATGGCCCATCTATTTTATAAGATGGCACGAGATTAAGCCTGTACATTTCAATTTCAAAATCCAACAGTAAAATGCTTTTTTTTTCCTTCACTCTCATTTATATATTCACAACCATACATATTGGGTTACTCAAATTGCTACAATATCTTACATTTTGAGCTCAATTAGTTTAAATATAAGTGGGAAATTTGTTGTACAAGAAATAAATTCAATCATTAAAACAGAATCGGGTGACTGGTCTACAGAAATTCAATCTAATATAAATGGGAAATTTACTGTACTGAACTATCGGGTTATTGGTCTACACAAATGTGTGATAGCCAACGGTATCGATAATCTTGCAGCACAAATGTAACATAAACAAACATAACATTAATAATCTTGTGAGAAAATAAATCTTCTGTAATAAACCGGCTTTAGAGGGGGTAATTAGGTAATAATTGTCAGCAACAACCTATGCGGGTCTATGATAGGAGGACAATCAACAAGCAACAAGAGCAACAGAAACCTTAGAGAGTTGGAACCTCAAGTTGCTAGGAGATTTGTAGCCTCAAGCTACTTCTTGTCTCCCTTAATCATTCTGTTAATGGAGAAGCAGTCCTTCTCTTAACAATGAGCATTATTGAGTGAAATAGCTTTAGTCTATTACATCTTTAAAAAATAATATCAAACCAATTAGTAGTTGGCAGGAGCTCACTCAATGATTTTTCTTCAGATTGTCTATCTGTTTCTTGAAGAAGCCAGAAATCCTTACAGGTTAACTTTGATTGCGTCAAGATGGTCACCATATCGTGGTCTATGCATGGTATACCTAACAAAAACAACTTCATGTACCAACAACCACACTTTGACCATTCATTCATACACTGAGTGACTAATAACATGAATAACGGATAGGCACTCGTTGCTCCCATAAAAACAAAAACCTAAAGAAAGAGCCACTGATTACTAAAAAGACTCAGTGGTTAATCTACTAGCATAATTAGGAAAATTCAAATAACACTAGACATGTAAGTGGCAATAATGAGGCCTCAAATCATCCCAAATAAACACAGAACAACTTCAAACCTTTCATAATTCAAGATTCCGGAATTCAACACCATCATTCTGTTTTTAGCATCTGAAATACGAATCTCTAATGCAAACAAAACAAAAATCAACAAACTGCAAGAAGATTCGCATATAAAATTTAAAATTAAACATTTAATAGGCTTATTGTAATCATTGAAAATGAATATAAAGCATAAGATCAACAAAATACTAACGTAAAATTCGTAGATATTCAGATGCATAGATGTAAGAAATTTGAGTAAGCTTTTTTAAAATTGCAATAAAAACCAGTACTTTCAAAAAAGTTCCATTAAAAACAGCAGCAAATCTTAACAACAAAGTACAACTACAAACATCTATAACCTAACACTTAAGACGATTTAATAAAGAAAAAATTGCAAATATTTTGGAACTAAACGCAACAGATCCTAGGATTCTAGCATCGATCAAAACTATAAACAGCTAAGATAAAAACTAAATATTAACAGCTAGGGACAAAGCATGGTTGACAGACCATTTATTACAGCATTCGCAACATCAGTTGCCTCAGCACGTGTAGGCCTTAGATTATTGGTCATGCTACCAACAACACTAGTAGCAACATCAGGCTTCCCAACCATATTGCATTTGTGTAAAAGCAACCTTTTAGAACAAGAAAACCTTCATTGGAAAAAATAAAAGAAGATTAGTTAAAAAGTAGATAACAGTGCATATCCCACTGCTAGAATGTGTTTGAACTATAAAATGAAGACGGGAAGAAACTAAAGTAAGTGTTGCAAAAATGGCAGACCTTCTCAGGAGGGAGATCTATGCCCAAATTTCCCGGGAAAGAATGATACCATCTGCTTCTTGTAGAATTTCATCAAAATGAGTCAAACCCTAAACATATAAAACATTAAGTAATTCAATAATGTACAATTAATAAAAATATTGAAAGCAATACAACATATAATGCTGTGGAATGAATAAAGAGGATTTTAGAAGAACATTATTGTGGAATGAAGCATGATGGCTCATACCTCAACAATTTAAATCTTTGCAAATATATGAGTCTGACTAAGATCACCTAAACCTGACGTAGCTCACGTGCCTAAACAAAAACAAAAAGATACAATTAAATATAGGAATGCATAAGAGGAGATTACACAGAAGATAACCATATTGCACCACCTACTTGGAGAACATCTTCTGCGTAACGAGTATATGACAGTGAAAGGAAGTCAATTTTGTTTTGAACACCTAATGTGCTTATAGCTTGAACATCATTGAAGAGGTCAAATTACTGATCCAATAAGAACAAGAATGCTGGAGATAAAAGGAAAAAATCAAGCATAAAATAAACCAATAAAAAACCTGCAACCCAACAGCACACCACCATCAGCACGCACCTTCAAAATTCATTAAATTGCAAATTTCAGATTTGATTGTATTTCAATAATACAAGTGCTTCAGAATGACAGATGCATACCCAAAAATGACAGTATATCTCACCCATAGCTTTAATTTCAATCAAAACAAGTTTTAACTACTACTTAAGTCAAAGTAATTCAGCATAATACTTAATTCTCATTTCATCAACATAAATCTCACAATAACATAATCAATCAACCAATCCAAACTATTTAAAAGATTCAATTGTAGCACAAAAATATAGTTAAGCCCAGAAACTTGAATATTTGCAAGTTCATATAAGACCCAGAAATATAAATTGGGAAAAAAATATCGAGGAAAAGTAGAAAAATTAAACTTACTTCTGCTTCTACCTCCGAACCTTCTTCAGTTGTTCTTAGAAATAACGGCACAAATTTTGAACAAAAAAACACGAGAAATTCCTGTAACAAACAGCTGAAATCAATAAAGCCAACACTTGTAAAGATCAAATTGTACCATTATTTTATAATCTATGATCTTAAAAATTCAACAATAACAAATATAATTCACAGAACAAAATCCAGATCTAGTAATTTTTTCTTCCTCACCCTCAACACTAATTCTTTTCGTATTTCTAGAAATACTGCTACGTTGATGCTTTGAAGGCTACGCTGTTCTTTTCATCCTCTTTGATTGCTTCATCTCTATTCAACTTGAAAATCGATTTAACTATAGTGAAATTAGGGTTTAGTTTATCAAATTCAAAATTAAAAATAAAATTCTAATAAATAAATTTAAGGTTTTTCCCCTGATGAAATTATGTCAATTGGGGCTTACGAAAAAGCAATTTAACAAAAAATGAGAGAACCCTAATTAAGAAATCGATTTGGGGGAATTAAGAAAGAAAACAAAAACAATATTTTGCTCCAAATCTAGCGAAAAAAACTAAAAATTAAAAAACTTAATATTTAAACACCAAAAATATAGAATACCTTGGAAGTTTAAGCGGAAACATTCCCTTCCTAGAAGATATTATAGCATGTTTCGACCAAAAACAGGTCAGTTTCCATTGCAAGAATGAGAATTGAGAGAAAGTTGGAGTCGTATGAGAAGAGAGAGAAATAGTCAATTGAGGAGAGAGAGAAGAGGGGAGGATGGTTGTTCAATATGAACGAAAATAAGAAAAGTGAAGTTAGACGGCTAGGGTGTTTTAACATCTACTCCGTAATTTCGTACTCCGTATATTGTATTTGTATCGGTCAAGTTTTGCCTATTTCGAAATAGACAAAATGCTACCTGTTACAAATAACATATTATTTGTAACGGAGACCTTTTTGCCCGTTTCAAATACCTATCCTCTAAATCTCCGCACTATGTTAATGTAATGGCTTATTATTTTGCCCGTTACGGCTAGGTTTATTGTAACTAGTATACTTATCCCCGTTACAAATAGGGTGTTACAAATAGGAATATTTCCACTAGTGATTATCAATGAGCATTTCTAAACTCTATTCACTAGTAGAAAAGAATAAAAACACACCGACAAATGCGCACCGGTTATTGAAAACCCGATGCCAAAAATACAAACCTAGACCACAACAATAAAACAGGTTTAATAGGGCATCGGTTTACTGGTGGCCTTTTCCTAATATTCCCTAAAATTAGAACATGCTCTCTCTCCTCACTCCTCCCTCTCTATCTCTAACTCACACGCTCTCTCTCCTTTGTCTCCTCTCTCCTCTCTGTCTCCTCTCTCTTCTCGCTCCACCGCAGCCACCGCCAGCGCAACTAGCGCAACCAGTGTTGGGGTTTAGTGAGTCCGACAAACTGCGGAAACAAACCCAAAACAAATAAAACTGCACTCGCGATAAGTAAAACCATAAACTTAATTAAATTAATCAGAAGATTATGATAAAAAGATTACGTTACCTTTTAGAGTGTTCTTAATTCGACCAAATGGGCTCTTACTTGAAATCTATGTTTGAAAACACGAAGCCTCCAACGTTGATCCACCCGCACCAACAAATACCGAAAAGGTCCAATGTCTCGGGTTTAGCAAGACCCGACCAATAAAACCCGAGTAATTAATTCAAAGCCTTTCACTAAATGTGACACCTTTTCCAACTCTTGAGTTCAAGGGTTTTCACTTACTAGTGATGCCCTTTACAACTCTTACTCAAGCAAGTAATCCCAAACCATGCCTTGGCTATTTATTATGAAAGCTTCCTTATGAATTCCACTCATCTTTCAATGTGGGACTTTTCACAAAAATATCCCACATGGAAAGATGATGAATTCAGCCCTTAGTTAAATAAACCAAGTAATAAGTAACAAGTGTCACATGGTTAGGTGAGAACCGCTTTCTCACTTGGTCCCCAAGGCAACTCACATGCATTGTGTGCTAACCATGTGTCACCCAACCTTGAGCCCCAAGTTGGATTCGGTTGGGCCACTTTCTTTTAGCGCGTGTTCATGACACGTCACCCGGGTCCACGACCCCCTTGCCACATGCGCTGCCACCATGGCAGTGTGCCAACGTGGCACGCTGCCAACGTGGCTGCAATGTGTGCTTCCACATGGCACGCTCCTATTTAGCGCGCTTTCCTTGTTTTTGCGTGGCTAGGGTTTTTGCTTGTTACTTGAAGCATTTTCCCATCTCGCCTATTCTTAAATATTTGCTCAACATTTGAAATTCTTCGATGCTCGGTTTCGACGCTCCAAGCTTGAATTTCCGACGTCTAAATATAAATTACTCTGTCGACTCATTAATTCCTTCCAAAATAATTCTTTTTTCCGGCTCGTTCACTGCTTTGGTGTTACCCGAAGGGTTCAGTCAAGATGAAGATGTAATATTAATTATGCATTAATATTACTTATCAGAAGCGGCCTCCACCCAGGCATTCTGATCACTTGACCTTACTTAATATATAAGCTTTCTAATAATTCTAAACCCACTATCAGAATAATACACTTGTTCGAAGGACACTATTCCTTTCAATCTCCCACTTGTCCTTCCAGACAAGTGTGCTTTTAGTGTATAGCTCTTTTCCTATGTCTCTTAATGCCTCTTCATGAACCATAAGGTAAGATTTATTTGTCTTCCTTATTACGTCTAGAAGTGTTTCTCGATTCTGAGTCCAATTGTCAATAAACAGATGATTTTAAAATCCCTCCGAGAACGACCATGCATTTTTATAGTCTCGCTCTTCGAGAGGCCTTGTAAACAAAAAAGACATTTTCCCTATTTTAGTAGGAGGAAATTTCCAGTCTTGTAATGTAGCTTCTCTTACTAAGAGGACCTAGCCGCCTGAGTGATGCCGTTATAATCCCCTGTTACGGCAGACGTTTGATAATCATCAAAGCGGACTAGTACACAAACAAGAAAGCTCACAATACTCATGGTAAAGGAAAAAGGTTTCGATAGCAATAATGAAAAGTATACTTATGACGATTTTTAATCTCTTAAGGTATTCTCATAGGTCAATCCAGTATGGTTCTAAACCAATACATGTGCAAATGATTCATGACAATCATGTCCTTGTAGCACATGAAACGGTGCTATAAATCAAACTACACACTAATCTCAACTGGTCATTAATCGTCCATCGTTTAAATGACCTCGATTAGGGATAATTTTCGATTATAGTATTCAAGTTTACTTAATAGGTATTTCCTTACCAAGACTGGTCTTGATACCCTATTTTGAATATTTTAAAAATCGAATGGACTCATTATTATATTCTAAACAACAATTAAATAGTGAACGGAGTGATTTCAATTGCATGAAATTTTAAATTACTCCAAAACTTGAATGGTTCATCTTATGATAATTGGTTCTTCTGAATGTTTTAAGAGTGTCACTCTTTATAAAACATCTATAAAAATCACACTTATATCTAATATGCTTGATTTCTTTCATGCAATTGTGAATGTTGTCGTTCACTTATTTGAGAGTGTCATGGATTATATGTGATTTAGGTTTTATTGTCCAAGTTATGTCTCCCACTCATTTTCATGATTGAGATCTTCAACTTGACAACCTAAAATCATTAACGTTTAGCAACGAAATTTCCATAGAACATCTTCTTTATTATCGCCTTTAAGGCAACAATATTCTCAATATATATATACTTTATTGACTTCCTGAAAATGTTTTTCTTGGGTCTCACAATGATTTGGAATACCCTTATCTAGGGGTGTACACCGGTCCAAAACCGGACCGGACCTGGACCGGACCTGTTTGGACCGGGGACCTGAATTGGGTAATTATGAGGACCGGGGACCGGACCTGAATTAACAGGTCCGGTTCCGGGCCAGACCTGAAAAATCAGGTCCGGTCCGGGTTTGGACCTGAATGGACCTGTTTTGTGTCTTTTTCGTTTTTTTTTTTTTTAATACAAAACCTGTTGGACCTGCATATGGACCTGCATATGGACCTGTTTTGTGATTTTTAGACCTGTTGCATAATTTAATAATTACATACAAACCAAAATTATCAATTACAAAACTACATAAAGTCTATAAAGTCCCGATTCTCAAACACCAAAAATACAAATGAGTCCACCGAAAATACAAATAAGTCCACGAAAACTCATAAAATTACATAAATTCTCTTAAGTCTCAACTCTCAACTCTCAAGTACTAGGAATACATAAATTCTCCAACGAGTTGTTTTCCCTTTGATCGCGTGATTCACACTAATGAGTCCACGAAAACAACTTCATCGTCTACATCGTTAGATTCACCACGTTGCACCTCTAAATAAAATACAATATAGAATATATTAATGATTGATAACAATGAAATAATAAATTTGGTGTAACAAAATTTCAAATACATAAAATTATTACTACCTTTCTCTATTTCCTCTAACTCTTTCAAATTTTCTTCCACATCAACAATTGGCACTTCCTTAGCTCTAAGCCAATCTTGTGTGCAAAGTAACGCTTGAACCATCTTCAATACAAAAATATTACACAAATATGTATAAACAAAGTCATATTAAGATATAAACAAACTTGATTTTATAAAATAAAAAGATAACGATGCATTACCTTAGGAGTTAAAGAACTCCGAAATGGATCTAGAGTACGACCTCCCGTACTAAAAGCAGATTCCGATGCAACGGTCGACAATGGGATGGCTAGTATGTCACGTGCCATGCGATTAAGAATCACATAACGCTGACCATTCTTACCCCACCATGTCAATGCATCTTGTTCTTCCTCCTCCGGCCCTAATTGATCATTTAAGTACCTATCCAACTCACTTATCGCATACCCACTTGTCCCCTTCAATCGTTTTGCTCTTTCTTTTAGTTTCCTCACATAATCGGAACCCACTCCTTTACTATTATCAATATCCATTGACATATTATCTCCACAATCTGGAATATTAGAAGTAGCATACATTTTTCTATATTCCTCAAATAAAGAGTAAGCGAACTCCTTCACATCATTAGCAAGTTTTGTACCCTTTTCCGGTCCATGCATATCCGTTAGTGTCAATTCAACAATGACCATCTTAGAGTGAGGGTCGAGAAGAAGAGCAACATAAATGAACTTATTCATCTTATCCACATCCCCCCAATACTTATCAAACTTTTTTTTCATTGCAATGGCCATGGCTTGAAAATTCAAGTCCTCACTTTGTTCCCAATTATTCAACATATCATACATAGAAGCAATTTCTCCTAAACCTTTATTAGCTGTCACATAATGGGAACCAGAAATTCGTTTAGTTAACAGATAAAACCCCCTAGAAACAAAACCAACCTCTCCACTTTTTCCCAATCTTCGGGTTCGGGAGGCCTTTCATTGTCATTCAAATCCTCTCCATCAGGAAGAGATAACCCACTAAAAACACGTCGAAACTTCAAAGCCGTTTCCAACATTATGTATGTGGAGTTCCAACGAGTGGGGACATCAAAGGATAAAGAAGATTTTGAATCTATGTTTGCTTTTTGCACAAGATCTTTGAATCTAAGTATTCTTGCAGGGGAATTCTTAACATATTTCACAGCATTTCTAACTCTATCAATGCACACACCATGTTCTCTAATACCATCCCACACAATTAAATTAATGATATGAGCAATGCATCTAACATGGAGATTTTTTCCATCATTTATACATCCTGTTCTTCTAACCATTCTACTCAAGTGTGCACAAGCAACATCATTTGAAGAAGCATTATCAACAGTGACAGTAA